CAGGTCATGATCCTGGAGTCCCGGGATCGAGTCCCGCATCGGGCTCCCTGCTTGGCAGGGAGTCTGCTTCTCCCTCTGACCCTCCCCCCTCTCATGTGCTTTCTCTCTCATTCTCTCTCTGTCAAATAAATAAATAAAATCTTAAAAAAAAAAAACAAAAAACAAACGGGCTGAAATGTCTCCCTTTTTTGAAGCGATTTAAGAGTCCAGGAATGCTGTGATAATCAAAAGACAAACTCCCCTGTAGGCACCTAGCTGAAAGCAGTATGGGGAATACCTAAATATACAGCTGTGTGTTGTCCTGGATTGGGAATAAAGAATGAATAGGAACCCTTTGGCTGGTCTCTGTCAGCTGGTGTTCTGAATCCACATTTCAGAACATTTCCTATGTTTACCACATTTTAAGGTCTTAGTCTGGGAAAAGTAGTCAGCCCTGATTTTGATTGGTTCTAACATTTTTCTCCCAAGACCCCATGTAGCACCAGGTACCCAGAGGTGCCCAACTACCAACTGCTGACCTGGCGTGGAACTCTCAAAGAACGTGAACTCACTGTGTTTGGAAAAAACTCCTTTCTCAAGAGGTTGATTGAGGTGGGGATTATTATCCACTCCCCTGCTGCCTGAGATGGGTTTGTGACTCACTTGGCCCATGACAGCTTGACATCTCCTAACCAATGTGATTTGTTCACCAGACCCGAGCCTCAGCAAGGGGATATCATTCTTGGATTTGTGTTGGGACACTTGGGAAGAAGAAGCCCTTTTTCCACTGGGGTTGCTGAGAGAATGTGCTCTAAATCTGGAGTTACCAGATGCCTTCCTGAAGCCACCAAGGGAGAGACTGCCTGAGAATGAAGCCAACACAGAAGAAAGAAGAGCCACGGGCTGGGGATTGCAGGACCAAGTCCTGATGATAATAGCTGAACTCCTGGATCCAGCTATACCTGAAGCCATGATGTTAGACTTTTTAGTTAAGTAAAGTAAATCAATTACTTCCCATTTAGCTTAACCAGTTTGATTTGTATTTCTGCCCCTTATAAACCAAGAGAGTCTTGCTGATGCAACTATCTCTCATATAAGGCTGCGGCAAAGCTCAAATGAGGAAATGCATATGAGAGTACAGACTATAAAGCAGTAAGAAAATCGAAGGGTTTCTTACTGTTCCTGTTCAACAGCAACAACGATAGTGATGATGATAGTAACAATATTAAGAAGAACAGAATCTTACCAATATTCTTCCCCTCCAGCCATGCATTTTTCATACACAGGTCCCTCTAGCTCCCGGGGGCTGGGGAAGATGGCTTCATGATGGATGATGATGGTTTTGATGACTTCATTGACGTGTGCCTGGCAGGACACAGGGTCCTGCCCATCAGGGATGTGCATGAGGGTGGGCCCGAAGCAGATGGCCAGGTTGTAGGGATCCATCATGTTCTCGTCGCTATACTGCGAGAGGCTACAAGAAAGGAGGTACTCACAAGTCACCTGGGAAAGGTGAATCTTCCCCCCTGTGGGTTCTTTCTTTTGAGGGCTCTACTCAACTCCAGGAGGGTTCCATGTTCTATTTTAGGAACAGCTGCACCTGCAAAAGCCTCAGGACACCCCCTCCCAAAGGAGGCCAGAGCTGAGGCAAGGAGGGACCCCCCCACCCCACTTGGCCGGGCAACTCACTGGTTGAGGAAAGCAAAGAGGTATCTCATGACCACGATGACCACTCGGGGAAGGGTGATGAGGATTTGCTGGATCTGGTGCACCCTCTCAGCTGGGCTCTCCAGTTCTGTAACACAAAGGGGCTTTTCAGGGTGTCTTTCATTCTCAGAGAGCCAGGCAGCCAACATCTGCTCCTAGATCAGGCCACATGGTTCTGGGGGAGCCAGTTCTCTCAGTTCTGGGGATTGATCTGTGACCCTCGTCTGGCCACTTGCAGCAAGTATGTGAGTCAATTCATTCCCTTTTATGGATGAAGCCCGTATAGATCGAGTTTCTGTCACCTGATACCTATGAGCCCTGACGAACACTGGCATGGGCCATGTTCCGTTCACCTCTTTGAACACCAGCTGCACCACAGGCACGGCACGTAGTAGGCTAGAAGTGAGTGTTGAATAGACAACCAACTCTAGAGCTCTGTATTGGCCAATGAGCTTGGCAGATGCCTGGGATCTTGTCTCTGAGCCCGGTTTTCAGGCCCGTCCTAGACAGAGAGACACTGGTATTTTTGTCAGTCGGGCCAGGGGCAGGAGCAGCCAGTTGGGCTTGGTAAGGAGACAGGCTTTGTGGGCTCTGCCTTGTGGAGAGGGAAAGCTGGCACGAAGACTGAGCTGCCAGGGTTCTGATGTGTGTCTGCAGGGCTTATGCCCAAGTCTATGCCAGTTTCTTTCTCAGAAAACATGTTTTCTCACAGAGCCCCTCTCTTCAGCCTCCACATTCTGTCAGCATGTTCCTTCTAAAACACCATTTCTCCTGTTTCTCCTCCGTATCCCAGGCCTTTCACAGCGGGCTTCCGCCAACCTAGCCTGCCTCACCTCCTAGCTGCTGCCCCTCCCCCAAGTATCTGAAGATGATACAGAGTTATGCTTCTCAGATGAGGTGGTAGTGCACCTCTGGGCATTTACAGATCCACAGGGCATTCTTTGGGGTTGTCACAGTGACTAGAGAGTACCATTGGCATTTGGGATCCAGGGGTCAAGGTGCCAAGTGTCCTGAATGTATGGGACACACAATAAGACACTGCTCTACCCTAAATGCCAATAGCACCCCCACTGAGGAACTCTGTGCCAGGTGGCCTTAGCCCCGATCTCCCTCTCACAGAGGGCCTTCCTGCCCCTGGGTCTTTGCACACACTGGTGATCTCTCTACTCTGTCCAGCACACTCTAGCTTACCTTCAAAGTCTGGCACTGAGGCATCTCACCCAAGTCTCCCCACAGAGCTAAAGGTTCTTGGACATTTACTGATTCCGTTGCCCTTTATATAGGTCACTCCCTGTCCTCAGCTTCAGTCATCAGTGCCCTAGTACCCCTCCACTTCAGTACATCATTTTCTTAAATGCATTTATTTAAAGAGGAAATTTTACCTCACTCTGTAAATGAGAAACCAGGACCACTTGCTATAATTAAGAGGTAACATAAAAATAGATATAATGAAAGCAAAACAATATCACTAAATTCTAGGTAGGCACTGTTCTATACAAAAGTTTCTGAGACTGAGGCCCCATCTCTATGTTTAGAAGGGAGACTGACTGACCTCTGAAATTTTCTCCTTGATATAATCACAGGGTTTGGGAGGGAAGTGAGAAGGGATCTTCCCCACCCCCTCCCCAGTGTGATTCAAAGTGTGATCCAAGGTATGCAATGTTATGGGCTTGTACCAGCGGTCAACAGCCTTGGCCACTTAGGGCTCTGCTCAGGAACTAGACTAATGGGACTGAACATGTGACACTAGCTGAACACATGACATGGGGCTGAACACATGACACGAGGCTCAGATAGGGTTGGGCCTTTGTAGCCTGGAATTTCTGAGGGTCATGTGGAGCCTGAAGTGGATCTGGAAAGATGAGCAGGAAGTAGTGTGGAGGGGAGCAGAGCAGAGAAAGGGTCTTTTGTACAAGGCAGGCAAGAGGCTTGAAGGCTCCCACCTGCTGGAGCACTTTCCCGGCTGCAAATCCCTCTCAGAGCATTGTGAGAAGCTTTCATTTCTGTTTTGAAAGCAAAAATGCTTTCATTTTTGTTTTGCTCCTAGTACTACTGGGCGTAGGGCAATTTTCTGTAAATCAGAGTTTATTCTAAAATACTAAGATTCTCATACTGTAATATTAATAGTTTATTTTTTAAAATTCTCAAAATGTTGCCTTGGATCTGGGCATCTTACAGTCAAGGTGCTTTTACTTCAGCCCCCTAGACTGGGCTTCTGCCTTCATCCACAGAAATACCTGCCAAGGAGAATTCTGATGGCTCGTGACATCAGAAGAAGCCCACAGTCAACTTATTTTCACCATTTTACTTGTCTGTTATGTTGCTGACCTGACTCCCAAACCCTCTATGGCTCCCTATTACCCAAGGGGAAAAGCTCTAAAATCCTTGCAAGGTCTTTCCCCTCTTGCTCTATTTTACCCTTCTAGCCTCTTGCACCATTCACTGCCTGGAATACCCTCCTACTGGTCCCATTAGTCTGTGTGTCCCCATACTCTTCCCAGGATACTCCGTGTCCACTCCTCCTGGAAGGCTCAGCTCACATCACTCTCTCTCAGCTGTGATCTGCAAAACCAAGTTTCCCTCTGCCTCTTCTGAGCTCCTTCCATACCCAGGGTTGTACCATGTATTTTCCATTATAAACTGTCTTGTTATCTCTACAACTAGGTTTTAAGTTCTATGAGAACGAGGGCCATACTGCTCTTTTCATACTCTCCCTCCCATGTGCCTAGCACAGAGATGAGCCCATAGTACAACTTTAATAAAGGTATGTCACACAATTGATCACTCTACCATTCCACCTAGGAAATACTTACTAATAGTAGATATCAAATCTTGAAACCTTTCCTTAGGAAAGAGTGGGTTTTCCAGTCCTCGGAAATACAGTTTTAAAACACCAGCGACTGAATTGATATCTCGTTCATTTTGATCATCCACAAGGGGGTCTTCGCCTGAGAGGAAACAGGAGATAATAATTCAGCTTGGTAAGGAGGCAGGAAATGTGCAGATGGCAGGAGGGATGGCCTGAGCTAGAGGAGAAGCAGATGGGACAACCTCCTTGACAGAGCAAGTTTAGAGTTCTCCCTGTAACTGATTTTGAAAATATTCAAATCTACGGAAATATTGTAAAAATAAAATACTGAAATCACCCTTCATTCACGGTCATTAACTTACACTCCTCTTGCCATATTTGCTTTCTCTCTTTACTCATATTTATTGCTCAATGATTTGAGAGTATTTTATAGATGTCACAAAATATAACTGCTAAATACTTCAACATGTTTCTCCTAAGAATAAGGATATTCTCCTACATAACCACATAACATCATTACACCTAAGAAAATTAACAATAGTTCCAAAACACCAACTCATATACAGCCCACATCCAAACATTCCCAATTGTCCTGTCTTTCACAGAATTTTTTCAAAGGCTAAGATCTAATAAACACAATTCATTTGGTTGTTATGTTTCCTTAGTCTTTTGAATGTAAAGAGGCCCCAACATTTTTTAATCATTAAGTTTTTTATAATATTGCCTCTTCTGAGGAGTCCAGGCCACCTGCCTTATGGAATGCCTCCCACTCTGGATTTGTCTTTGTTTCCTCATGATTAGATTTAAGTTAAACATTTTTGGCAAGAATAGTACATGGGTGATGTTGTGGACACCTCATTGGATCCAGAGGCATATAACGTCAGCCTGTCTTGCTCCTGGTGATGCAAAGTTTGATCCATGGATTAAGGGGGTGACCTCCAGATCTCTGCATTGTAAAGGTCTATTTTCCCCTTTGTAATAGTGTAAAATATAAAATATTTTTGAAAAATATAAGTGATCTATGTGCAAGTCATTGTGCTCAACATGTTTCACCCAATGCTTTTAACCTCCAATGATGATTTTAGCCTAAATCAATTATTATCCTAGGGTTGCAAAATGATGATTTTCTAATTCTGTCATTCCTTCTACATTTATTAGCTAGCATTCTTCCATAAAGAAGAGGTTTCCCCATGCCCCCTTACTTCTCCTATTATTATTATTACTGTTATTATTTAACATCTTTGTGGGATTGTTTTTGTAATTTTTAATTTAATGTGTTATAATCCATTACCATCACTATTCTCTGGAATGCTCAGATTCTCCCCAATTTTGCCAGGGACAAATGTCCTTTATAGGTGACCTCCACTGAGCATATCCTTGCTTTCTGCAACAGAAGATGTTCATGGATCACCTTATACTTTCCTTGACCCAGATCTGGAATCAAACATTTCTCCAAGACGCTCTGTTTGCTTTTTATAGGGGATGGCATTTAGAGACCAAGATCTAAGTTCCAGGTGTGCTCATTGGTACAGGAGTGCTATAAAAAGCTTTTAAACCTTTTCAGTGGATAGAGGGAGAATACACATATTTTTTTTTCATGAGTTCACACAGTTATTTCTAATTCATATTTAAGATTCAACATTTTCTTTACTTTCATTTATTTTATATTTGTATTTCATTTTTATTAGTGAAAAATCTTGGTTCTGAGTCACATTAATAATGTATTTCTGTATCTGCCTTATCCTACAATATACATAACATAGTTTTGAAATTTTAATAGCAATATCACCACTAACAATAAACCTACTACATAAAATTTAAGATTTCTTTGCAGGGCTTTTGTTTTCATTTGGGGGGAAGGGGTTAGTCTTCAGAATGTATCCCACTAAAGATGTGTGGTCAGAAGACAGAAAGTACATTAGTGGTTGCCTAGCATGGGGGGCTGGGGTAGAGGGAGTCTAGGGAGCAACTACAAATGGGTACAAGGTTTCTTTTGGGGATGATGAAAAATTTCTGAAATTGGATTATGGTGATGATTGCACAGCTCTATAAATATACCAGGAAACACTGAATTGTACGATTTAAAAATGGGTGAGCTTTATGGTATCTAACTCATTAAAGCTGCTAAAAATGTATGACCAGAGCACATGTTCAAAAGTTACTCTCTGTGTGATGATCAATTTGATACACAGCTTGTTTCTATTTCTATTCAATTTTAGGGACTGACTTTTTTTTTTAGAAATCCTTTCTTAAAAAATTTGCAGTTTTAAAAATTTAAAGCATTTACATTGTCCAAAAGTCAAAACCAGATAAAAAGTTATATGCAGACAAGCCCTACTCTTCTCCTTCTCCCTTCCCTACCTTACATTTAACCATTTTCATCAATTTCTGGTTTGCCCTGTTGTGTTTTCTTCTCCCAAAATAAGCAAATACATATATGAGAATTTTTTATTTCCCTTCATTTTTTACACAAAATGTAAGTAGTATACAATATTGCGACATACACTTGTTTCTTTGCTTCACAATAAATACTAGAAATCCCTCCATATCAGTTCATACAGATCTTTCTCATTTTTCTTCTTCTTTTTTTTTAAGTGGATGCAAAGTACTCTATTTTATGGATCGACCATGATTTAGTCAACCAATCTCCTACGGATTGACATGTGACTTCTTTCCAATCTTTAGCTCTTACAAATATTGCCACAACAAATAATCTCCTGTGTGTGTTTTGGTATTTGTGGAGGTACATCTCTGGTCAAGTCTCAAAGTGGGATTGTGGGTCAAAGGGTACATTTCATTAGACAGAGCCAAATTCTCCCCCACTGGGCCTGCACCATTCTATCCTCCTACTGGCAACATAGGAGAATGCTTTTTTTCCACAGCCCTGCCCATGGAATGCTCTCAATCTTCCAATTTTTTTTTTTTTTTTTCCCATTGGACAGGGGAAAATGGTATCTCAGGAGAGCAGCATTTTTCAATTTAATCCGGGGCTGCTCAGCTAAGATCCCCCCAAGTTTCCAGTGGACGAGGTGAAAGGAAACACAGAGCAATCCAGCCCCTCCCTGAAGGTGCTGACAGATGTCTGCACAATGAGCTTTTCCTCCTGCTCCCAGAATAGCCCACAGAATGTTCTAAGACTGGCAAGCAGTGAAGAGCAGAGCTGGAAATTCATACTTGGATCTCTTTACTCCACCTTCATAGGAAAAGAATGCATGTCACTGCCAGGGCCTCTGCTAGCCCCAACGTGCTTTAGTGCAAATGAGAGAGGGCCCCCCTACTTCCTTCCTAAACCAGGTCTTGTGGCTTACAGAGTATGAACCAGAGTTCAGCTCCCCCCTGCCTTCTTTGACTGAGCAGCCCCGCACAGTGCCCAGCCTGAATGACTGTATGTGGTGGCCCAGACGCTGATGTTCCAGAGGTCAACCTCTCAGATATCCCCACAGGGGAACAGGAGGAGTCCTTGTGGGGAAGGAAGAGAGAAAACACAAAAAAATCACTTCCTATACTGATATAGCACTTCTCAAGTGAGAAGCACATTCGCACACATGATCTCCCTTCATCCTCACAAGAACATTGCATGGTGCCGAGGAAGGCAGGGTTCCAACACCACCATTCTCTCGCACGCAACAAGCAAAACAACTTGCCCACATTCACAAAGTCAAAACACACACCAGCAGCTCCCAGGTCTCGTAATGCCTGGGAGATAGTCTTCCTTTGACCAGTGTCTGTCTGTCCGCTTACATGCCTGTCTCCCTCCCTCCCTCCTTCCCTCCTTCCTTTTCCTTTAGAGTAGAATCCCAACCTTTTCTTTTTTTTTTTTTCCAAGAAAAAAGTTTCTCTGAATGCTCAACACATACAACAAAGCTGTCTTAGTTGAATTGGGAGGAGAGGTCTATACCTCCCTCCTAAGCCCCCTCTCGGGTCCTGTAGCACCTCTTGAGGCCCCTTTAAGGGACCAGAAAAGTTCAAAAACTCTGGACTATACTTAGCTACTTCCCTATTATTACCACATATGACCTTTGGGGTCTCATGATTCAAAAGCACATGGATTCTTCTTCTTCATAGTACATGTCAGCTCCCCTCATCAAGCACGATCAACATATGGGCTTTATATATACATACATATACTACCTATGTGTACACACACACACCCCATTTGCTCTTGCTCTTCCTCCCAGAAGGCACTCAGTCCATAAAAGGAACCATCCAAATATTCCAAATATTCTCTCCTCCTAGCCCAGGCCTTCGGCTCTCTGCAAGGCCAGTCATTTTTGGCTCCAGAAACGAGCGGAATTCCAGAGCTCAGGATGAGCAGTATGGTTTGTGGGAATGATGGCTTCCTTGAGGAGAATTACAGCTAAAACTCTAGGCTAGTCTGAGAGAAAGCTGTGTTCACACTTGGTTGGCTACCGTCCTGGGGGCGGTGGAACTGTTGCCCAGCAGCCCTGCCCACAGCGCCCTCTTAGCCAGGTCACCTGGGCACTGCCGAGGACTTGACGGCAGGGCTGTCCCCAGGGCAGAGTGTGAACACAGTGTGTGCTCACAGGCTCTCAGGAAATCTGTCGCCAGACTGGATGCATGGCAGGAAGCTCGCAGGTGGCCTCTCACACAAGGGCAGTTAGCTCTCTGTGGCCACAGGTCCTCCCAAGCCCATTCTGTGGCTCCTCAATAGGACAACTCCTCCCAGCGTCTCCCGGTCACACTCCTCTCCCTGGGACAGGATCTAGATCTCTAAAGGGCCAGCACTAGAATGTGTCAGACCCTACATGCCATGACTTCAGCCTCAGATCTAAACCCTATCCTGAGCCTCACCGGGTGAGAGGGCCACGGACTCCCCTTCCAGGCGCCCCTCCACGTAAGGAGGCCCCCCTGGCAGCTCTCTCATCGTTGCATACAAAGGGGACAGTGGCTGGGTCTGTGGGGAAAAACAGAGTTTTCCCAGGAAAACTGCCTGAGAGACAACAGAAAAGCAGGGCTCTCTCCATGGCGGGGCTACTGATTTCCTGCCCTCTTGTGGTGTTTCTCCTTCTTTTTGTCAGACTGCAGAAAGAGCTCAAAACTTGGGTGATAAGCTTAAGGCTTACTGACAGAAAAAAAAAAAAAATCGTATCATTAACATCACCACTTCAACTAAAACCCTGGCTGACTCATGTCAGAAGAAAAAGAAAGCAGGTTTAGGAATAATAAGCCAAGAATGAATTTCCTACATGTTGCAATTTCTCAGAACCTTAAAGAAAACAGATCTGTGCTCCTTTCAACAGCCTTATACAAGGAATGTGGGCAAGAACTTCACCCAAGAGAGCAGGAAGGGGGCCAAGGAAGAGAAAGACCCAAATCTCCTTGAACAAATGGCAAACGATAGACACCCTGCAAGGATTGAGGGACTTACATTTTAACAAATAAAAGGAAGAAAGGAAAAATGCACAATGTGCTGGTTTAGAGAGAAAATTCAGTAGTAAGTTAGTGTGTGGGATGGAGGAGTGAGTGAGAAGAGAAATACTGAGCCTCCCCAGCCTGCAGCAGTTGGGGGGTAGGGGGGTAGAGAAGCTACTAGTTTCACAAGAGGTGGGAGGTGACCCTGAGAGTCAGCTGAGTAAGGAGCCAAACCTAAGGCAGTTGGTTGGTGAACTTCAAGAAACAGAAAAAGTAAGTGGGAAATCTGGGCACTAGCCAGCCCAGAGAAGCCAGGAATGGATTTTTCTAAAAGAGATACACCAGGAACTTTTTTTTTTTTTTTTTTAAGAATAAGCCACAGTTCACCATAGGCTCAGAAGGAGCAAAAAGACAAGGCTGCCGCAAGAATGAGATTCATTCTGGAATGATGGAGAGAGGGAGAAGAGCCAATTTGCATACTTGAGGCAAAGAAAAAGAAAACATTTTTGCAGCTGAGATTTGGGTCAGGTGATCCCTGCCCAGCAGGGCTCTGCCCGAGGTGATCCAAGGCCAGTTCGGAACAGGCACCCAAGCCAGGGACAGAAGGCACTGACCTTAGAAAATCACATTCGAGAAGGAAAGAAAGCAGTGCTCTTGGGGCAGGGATAGGGCCGGGATGCCTGGTACAAGAAAGTTACTTACATAGCCTAGGGAAGCAGGGAAATTCGAGGCAGGGGCTGTTGCCAGGCTGGATGCACTGTGCAGTGAGTTTACCCATGAGATTTAAGGAATTCTGTATAATGTGATTAGCCCAAGAAGATGGAACCAGCAAAGATTCCAGACCCTGGTTCTGTTCATTTACAATGAACACAGGGGAGCAGGGGTGCTAAGGAGTTGGGGTAAGTGAAGAAACAAAACTTTGGATTGGGCTGTCCAGTGTTGTCAAGAGAAGCTCAGAGAATGACGAGTGACACTTCCATCAGGGAGGAAGATGGGAGATACCTCTTGTTCCTGGCCTTTGCACATGCTGTTTCCTTAGTCTGGAATGACCTTTCCCTCCTTTTTCTGGCTCTTACTCTTTAAGCCTCAGCTTGAACATTTCCTCCTCTAGGAAGACTTCTTGGGCTTTACTATTCCTCCCCTCCAACCCAAGCTGGGTTAGGGGTTCCCATACCACCCAGGACTTACTCCGTTGTCTGCTAAACTGGTTCCCTACTAGACACGACTGTCTTTTGTTCCTGTTGTATTTCTAGGCCCTGGTCCCTTACCTAGTGCAGTGGAGGGCCCAATGAATGCATGCTTGTTGGGAGGCAACAAATGTATGAGTAGGAGCTTGCAGCCGGGGAATTCTGGGGCTCTCTGGTTCAAAGTGCCCAAAATCCTGGAGCAGACTCCAAAAGAGAAGCTCCGCAGGACATTAGGAGGCCACTGATCACCACATCCAGTCAAATCCTGCTCTCTAAACCCGGTTCAAAGCCAGAGTGCCATGGGCCACAGAGGTCTGTGCTGGGGGCTGTGGTATTGACTTCCTGGGGCTCACAGAGTGCTTCCTCCACTCTAGAGCTAGACGGCAGATGGAACTGGGGGGGAACGGGGAAGGGGTAAGTTTGCTCAGGAGGCAGCCCCTCCAGAGGAAGCCGGGTAATAAGGAGGGAGAATTCCAGAGCTGGAACTGGGGGGAAGGCCTGTTCAGAGCACAGCCAACAGGGACAAACCAAATACCTTCCAAGACTATTAGGAAGATTGCATAGAAGGAGGGGTAAGAACATGCTCGTAAATTGGGATGTGATCTATTACAGGGAAATGGGTTTGGATTAGGGTCCTCAGACAATATTTGTTTGCCAAATACTACATAAAAAAAAAAAAGATAATTAGGATATTCTAAGAGCCACTCAGTGTTACCTGTATTCTTCCAACTTTTCTAAAAAAGCAGCAGCCTTTTTGATTCACATCATAATTTCAAGTGCTTTCCTAGGCCCTCTTTCCCAGCAACCACTGTACAGTCGCTAGACAGAGTTGCCCATGTGTGCTGGTAAATGTTTCACAGCTAACTCTTGAGATGGAAAAAGACAAAGAAAAGACCTTGGCATTTGCCAATTTCTGCGGTGTAAATACTCCTGCCTTCGCTGATTTCAAGCTACCAAGGGGGAAGGCACTGAATGCAGTTGGAAAGATGTCGCTCCGAGCCAGCCCCAGCACATTGCTGGCTCTAAGACACACATCAACACCCATCCTGGCTTTCTATGGACACAAGCTTGAGACGGTGACTCTGCACCTACCTCTCTCAAAGGAATTTTTTATGTCATTGACTTCGACCTGAGATCCTGGTACTCGGAAGATCCCTTGCTGCTGGAGTCCTAAAAGAAACAAACAGAAAATGCCATGATGCCTTGAGCTCATCAGAACTCTGGGGACATTGATGATTCTCCCAATTGTTTGTCTCTTTCTCCCACCACTTTTTACGAGAGTCGTTCCCAATAAAGATCTCCTGGCAGAAGCCCAAAAGTAGCCTTTGCAATGAACTTCAGCTGGCCAAAATACTCTGCACCATCCTGTTTCATGTGTCTGTGATCTCTTGTTGGGGGCCATAAATTAAGGTTGATATCCACACAGGACCAGTGGTAGCCAAGGTGCACTTTGCCTACCAAGTTCACCAGAGACACTGGCACCAAGGAGCTTGGCTTGAGTTTACAAATGCCATTTTAGTGTAACAACCACAGAGATTTTGAACAAGAATGATCAATATCATTCACTCGACCATTTCCACCCCCTACCTATACAGACATCTTCTTTCCAGGAAAGCTCGAGTCTAGAGTGCATGCTGGCCTGGGATCAAGGTGCTTGGGGGACATCAAATTATTATAGAAAAATAATCTTTTTTAAATATGCTTCTATAAGGCCATAACAAGGAGGAGACCCGATAGCTGACGTAACAGTAACAACACAGGATCAGAACCTATAGGGCTGAACGGTAACCTATAGAATCGAAGGAATTAACGGGCCTCTCTCATCTTGAATGGGATTTCATGGGGTGACTGTGATCTCCCTCATGTTCAGTTTTTCTATATAAAACAACTCTCCACATTATAATTTAGGAAAGTGTTTACCTCTGAAAGGCAGGCTTTAGCCCAAGTTTGGTTTGTACATAGTATGTGCTCAATAAAAGTGTGTTTATGTCTTTCCTTAACCAATATTGAATCTCTACCACCTGTGTCTTTTATCCCACTGTCCTGGCATATTCCCATTCAGTCATACTTGCTTGCTTCCCATATTAGACCTTCACGCTTACCATGCACGGCTGGCTTCTTCTACTCAAAGATCACCCCCTCAGAGACGTCTCTCCTTACCACCTTAGCCAAAACAGCCCTGCCACCCTCTGGCCATTCTCTATCCCCTTTTAGTTTCTTGGCATTACTGCTACCTAAAATTATATTATTTCTTTATCTGCTTATTTCCTTGCCCTTCTAATCGGTAATGTAAGCTACCGAGGGCCGGTGCCTTACCTGTCTTATTCATGCCTGTATTCCCATTGTCAGAACAGTGCCTGCTATGCACTCTGAAAATAAATTTTTGGAGGAGTGAATGAATGAATAGAGGGAAGCACAAGGGAAGTGTTGCGGACACCATGGTTAGCACATCCCAGACACTACATTTCCTTTCTGGAGCTGACTAGAGCCAGTTAACTGACCAACTGCTCAGCTACCTTCAGTGCTCAAAACACAGACCTCTGAGGTTGGGTGGAGTCACGAAGGAACTGAGACGCTTCTCCTGTCCATGCCCTCCCTGATCCTCAGTCTTCCTAGTTCCTGGGTCTTCTCACCACCACCTTCGTCCCCAGACATACAAGGCTCAAGAGAGCACTCAGCATGGCAGCTGTGCCAAGAAGCGTTTTCTCTCTAGGAAGCGGGGCAGTGACAGGACATCTTCCAAGATGAATTAAAATCTCATTTCCTATGAGAACAGCCCAGCACCTGTTCTGGAAAGAGCTGAAAACACTGCCCCAAGATTGAGCTTACCGTATAAATTGATGTACCGGATGCAGCTCTCGACTACAAGCGGTATAGCTTGTCCTGAATCCTTAAGAAAAAAAAATTGTGAGTTGTACTGGGCTTGGCAACCACCACAGGGAAAAAGACATTGCAAACATAGGTTATACACTCAAGCCAGAATATTAGTACCATCGGATTAGTAGGAAAATAAGCAAGGAACTGCTAATCCTAAAGTCTCCACAAACAGTTAAAATAAAATCTTCAGTTATGTGCAGAGAAAGGCATAGCTATGATAATTTTAAAGAAATGCTCTGTCTTCTTACTTAGCTGGGAAGAAATCAGGGCTCAAAGGCTTGGCAGGCACACCTGGGAAGGGGAGGGAGCCCGCTGCTCGGAGAGGGCTGGAGTTTGCTCTTGAAGAGTGCTCTGCCTTCCCCTCCACTTTGCCCCACTCAACCCTATCCTCCCAGTGCTCAAGGACAAAAAGGGAGGATCAAGGCCTCCTTCTAGCACTGCAGTACCTGATGCTTGAAATAAGAACACACTATGGGAAGCAAGGATGGCCCCAAGGGTCCTATTGAGCTCTGAGAAAGGAAGGCCAGGTCTAATGAGGTTACAACCTAAACATCCAGGCAGATACTTTATTTGACAATAAACATGTTATAAGGAAACGTTCCAGAAACAGCTAATGTCAGCCATTGACCACTGAGTGGCCAACCTTAGTCAAAAAGGCTGAATAAGATGCAGTTCTAAACATACGCATGGCAGGGGGTGTGAATGTATTTTCAATTACATCTTCCTAGATGGGCCCACAGCCACAAAGAGCGAGGCAAGGGCTAGTTTTGTCTTGGATTCCATGACTAGTTGATCTATTATTCCAAATCACTTAAAGAGCACAAAATCTTTTTTTAAACTTTCATTAAAACGGGCCAAATTAAATTATTAACCTCCTCAGATGAGAAAACAACAAGGCACACGTAATATATTCTTGTAAAGAGACAGAAAAACCCACGAATTTCGATGCCTTTGTGGTTCCTCCACACCCCACCTGTGAATCCTCTCCTTGGTTAACGACAGTCAGGGAGAGGGGGATAAAATGGACCCTGTGGCAATAGGCAAGGTGGGCCCTGCTCTAGAAGTCAGTACTAAAGACAGGTTCCAACCAGTTGAATGGGGCTAACGGACCTTTCTAGTAAATACCTGGTTCCTGGTTCGAGCATTTCTTCTTCCTCTGATAACAAAAAATAAACAGGCAGCAGAGCAGGAGAAAAAGAAAAGATTACGGAGGAGTAAGATCAGTTAGAGTAAGCAGATCCTTCAGAGTCCGTGAACGCGGAAATGCAATGGCAGCCACCAACGGTCCTGGGGAGACTGCCAACCAGCCTGCCGGTGGGGAGGGCCGCCCCTGCGCCTCTGGGCCTCATAGGAGCTCTGCACCCTGCCCCTGGTCAGCCTGCCGGTGTGCCTGCCTCGGACACCTGGTGGCAAAGGGGCCTCTATCAGTCCTTGTCAAGCACAGGGCCAGTGTGTGCTGAGCCCCTTTCTCGTCCCACGTTTAGCTTCTCCTCAACACAGGGGCTGTTCATTCACCAAAGGGCAAGGGCCCACCTAAGACACCTTAAGGTTAGCCCAGCTGCCCACAAGAAGGAGGGACACACACCTTCAGGCATCTACTGTAACACTGTCCCTGCAAGTCAATTCAGGAAACCTCATTCTTAGTAAAAAGCTAATTTCACCAAGATTGTGTTTATTAGGTGCCCTCTGCTACAACCTGACAGGATTCCACCTGATTCCAAATTCAAACAGCTTCCCATGCTTTCCTACCAAACACCCTGGGTAGCTTTTCCTGGGTATCCATTGGCTTTGCTCTCCTTCCTGCTCCCCGACCCTCACACTGGTACTGAAAATACTGCAGGGAACCCCAAAGCTGAGCAAGGACTGGGGGAGGGAGGGTGGGGGGTGGTCAAAACACTTTTATGATCTTGCAGGTAGAACTGGAGCCTTTGCTTTCACGAAAGCCACTGTAGTCACCCATTTTCAGGGGAACCCTGTGTGCTCTTTCTTCCATGTCTGCAGCAGGTCAGGGTCTGGGCTGGGAGCTATGTCTCAACCAAGCTCCTTGACAGGACAGTGGAGGAGGTGTGCCTTCTAGCTGGTGTCATCTGTCCGGTCCCCAGCATCTCCACAAGTGGAATTATATGTTGGCTAAACCTACCTGAATCCTACAACTGAGGAAATAGCCTGTCAGATGGGACTCTACGAGCAATCTCCTAAAAGCTCATGACCACAGTAATGGCTAGCATTTCCATGGTGCTTACTCTGGGCCAGGAGTGCTCTAGAAACACAGCACAGATTAGCTCATTTGAACTCGTCACACACTCATGAGGTAGGTAATCAATATTCTCATTTTACAGAAACAGGGTGGGGACTCTCCCTCCCAAAATCTATAATAAAATTGAAATGGTCTTCAAAATTTATAAGAAAAATTGGGTTTCCTTCTGTCTGAGAGGGGAAAAAAAATGAAGGATTTTGAAAAGGGCCAATTCCAACGATCCTAGAAATCGATCAATGTATCCGTCATTCTTAACTTGGGGATGCTGCCTTGTCCCACTACACCCTCATCATCGCAGAGTCCGAGCGATGTCATTTTACTGAAGAACCTTTCACAGGTTTGGCATTTCAAGCTGGGCATTCTCCGTTCATGCAGAGTTTTCTTCCAGATAGCACGTGAATCATAAGAGAAAATTAAATGCCATTCACAAAAGTTGAAGAGCTGAATATAACTGCCTTTTCATTCTCTGAAAGCTAATTGTCCTTGAGGGCGAGCCCCTGCTGCAGGAGAGTTTTTCTCCACACTGCCCGCTCAGAGCAGGCGCGGAAGAGTTTAACTGCCCTGGGGCGCCTGGGTGGCTCAGTCGGTTAAGCGTCTGCCTTCGGCTCAGGTCATGATCCCAGGGTCCTGGAATCGAGCCCCACATCGGGCTCCTGGCTCAGCGAGGAGCCTGCTTCTCCCTCTGCCTCTCTCCCTGCTCATGCTTTCTCTCTCTCTCTCTCTGTGTCTCAAATGAATAAATAAAATCTTAAAAAAAAAAAAGAGTTTAACTGCCCTGACAGTATGTGGTATAAGTACAGTGTAACTATAAAGAAATGCAGTCGTGTTGAACAAATATACCTTTTTTTTTTTTAGTCAAGTGAGTGTGTTTATTCTTTCCACTAGTCCCCCAAGGACTTATTCTGACCACATGACCCATGCTAAGCGGTTTTTCAGAGCCAGTCAGCCAGCCCCACTGTAGCCTATGCCTCTTGCCATTTTGTACCATCAGAGGTGTTGCAAAGCTGAACTCAAGAACGCTTTTCCTTCCAATGGCCAGGGTGTCCATTCGAATATGAAGTTTTGGCACCACCGACCAGGGCCATGCCACAGGCTCTAAGGAAGACTGACCAACGGCACCAATGACAGTGTATTCAGAGTAAGAATGTGGCTTCCCAAGGTGACTACCTCCTCCAAGGGGCAAACATGCAGTTGAGTTCTGATGTGTTTATCACGAGGAATAAAGTCAGATTGTCTGACAGTCACACATTTTATGTAGGAGCTCTCTATTAAAAAAGACTATTTCATTAAACAGAACACCTAATTCTCAAGTCCTGTCATCTAAGAGTCAGTTCCTTCCAAGTGCCCGGACTGATCATCCGTCTCCAAAGAGCTGAGCAAATTTGGGAAGGTGTGCCTGTCTCAGAGCCTTCATTCATTGTGTTCCTCCTTTCAGGGACTCCTGTCCCGCTCCTCTCCACTTTGTCCCTACCCACCCGCCAGAAGCCTCCTGCGCTCTGGGGCTCATGGCTCTTCATGTTCTGCGCCCTCACAGCACTTGCTTCCACGTGGTCATTCACAGACTGCTCGTCCTGAATCGCCTATTCTTTCAGTTTTCTGTGCTGAAAACCCCTGAACGGCACTATACGCTCCCTGAGGGCAGAGAGAATAGCTCATGTGTCCTTCAGTCCCCTCCTGGCTATGGAGAGTGGCTTTCGTGGGCAAGGGTGAATGAGATGAAGTCTTGGTGGAGACAGGAGGGAAGATAAAGAAAGAAGAACTCTTGACACAGCTGCATTTTCCCATGATCTACTGGATGGTAAACTGCTCACTCAGGGTCCCCTCCAAACAGTACCTCTTTCCTGATGCACCCAGGGGCACCCCTCCTTTTGGGATCCTCCCTGCCTCACTCCTCTGAGGTAGCCTAAAGCAGCCCTTGTTCCCCGCCCCCTGGACAGTCCCAACTGGTGTCCAACTGTTCCTCTGTCCCCTTCCCCTATTGTCCCTTCCCCAGAACTACGCCCACCGGCAGAGACAGCTGGGACCCAGGCTGCTGGCCCTGCCTACCCAGTCCCATGCCTGCCCGCCCCCCAAACCCCATCCTGTAAATCCCGTGAACAGTGTGTCAGGACGGAGGACAGAGTACCTGAGCAGGGGCAGCCTCCACTGCTCCAAAATCGCCAGCAAAGCCCAAGAGCATTTACATTTCTCCTGATTGACACCAGTCTTCTTTTCTGCAGAAAGTGTCTTCACTGGATAATGGAGGGCTCTCGAATAACTGGCAGGGACCTTTCCCCCCTGCTCCCCTTAACTCATGTTCCTCAAGCATCTCCCCCACCTGCTGCCCTTTTCAACTCTCTGGCCAGCTTCAGCCGCCTTGAGCCACTCATTCTATCTGGGATGCCTTGATCCTGTGCCCTTTGCCTCCAGGAGGCAAGAAAAAGAGAAACTCGCTGGGCTGAAACACTTTCATTTTTAAATCAGGATGTACAGGGTTCACCTGGAATTCTAAAGGGACTAACTCAAGAAGCAAAACAAGGTGGGAGAGTTTTCTCTTAAAAATTATATGTGTTTTCTTTGTCGGTATATTCTCAACCAAAAAAAAAAAAAAATTACTGTGTAAAAACCCACTGTTACCCGCAGGGATTTTCTTTGTGTTGCTTCCAACCAACCACTTCTTGGGAGGCATGGATACGAAGCGTGGTAAGGTGGTTTCTCGAACTGTCCCTGGGGCTAGCTAGGACCGCAGTTCCTAAAGCAAGAGAACATGGCTGGCAGGGACCACGGTGCTGGCATTTCAACCCCACTTGGACTTCATGGGGTTCATCAGGATCTTATCCCTCCCCTGGGGCTGAGGATCACTGGAAAGCACTTAGGATCAACTGGTCAGAGACAAAAGCAGCTCTGCTTTGAAGTACTGACTAAAGGTAAGAGGAGGCTGCGGTGAGGAACTAGGTTGCCTCAGGGCCTGGTTCAGGGCAGGACTGAAAGTTCTGGTTGGTCGGGGCAGGGCTGTGGGCCAAAGGGAGAAGGTAGAGAAAGGCTGCCATTACATTGGGCGCATTCGCGGACTCCGTGGCTCCCCAGCAAGTACCTTAATAAACGCTTCCATACAGCCGTTAAATAGTTTATGGCTACACACTGAGAGAGGCCTAGGTCTCCTCATTTTCTGTGGTTTAGGGGGAAGACAGGGGGGCCTAGGGAAAACGGAACAAAAGAAATCAAGAAAGCAACCAATGCAAACATACAACTGGGAAAGACGCTCTTAAAACCCATGACTGAAGGAGAACACAAAATGCAAATGGAAACCCCTGAACCCCCAGCACATTGGTGTCCAATGCTCCATCTGAAGGCCTTTGGATGTTTAAGGGGAATCTTAATTTAATTCCCACAATGTCAGGCAGGAGCAACGCTCGTATTACACAAATGCATTCTAGATCACAGCGGGGAAACAGTATGTATCCAGGAAACCATTGCAACTCCAATCAGAGGCTGTCATCCCGCAAAGCTGACCAGATGGAGGAGGAACCAGGGGAGAGAGATGTAATCTGCAGCCTGAGAAAGCAAGAGACTTTCAGTGATGATTGGAAGGGTTAATTTTCATTACTTTGGCTTAAATTCATAACCAAGTCTCAACTCCCAATGTACCAGGGCACTGATCTTTCTAATGCCTCTTGGCATTTCAAATGTACTTGACTAATCTTTATTGCATTGATCTAAGAGCCAGGCAATTATTATTCTCATTTTAGAGATGAAGATAACTGATGCCTGGAGGGAGGCTACAACTCTTTTGGGGCCCCCAGGTGACCCGGGGTGATGATTACATCCTGTGCTTTAGTCAAATACAATTTTGATTAAAGCACTTTCAAATCCATTATTAACATCAGTTCAACCCTGTACGGACAGCCCCATTTTACAGAGGCAGAAACTGAGGCCTAAAGAGGGGAATTGGCAGAGCCAGGCCCCAAACTCAGGCCTCATTGGCTCCAACGCCAAGATTTTTCCCACCAGGCCAGTGATGGAGTCTTAGGGACTGTTAATTTCCAGCCAAGGACTCATTTCATCCCATTAACCCTTGCCAGCAGAGGACCTGTTGGGTCAGGTTGAAAGTGTCTTGCTTTACTTTAGGATCTCCATTCCCTGTGCTCCACTCTTGGCTCCAGGGAGGGGAAACCATACCACAGTTCACCAGGAACAGTGAAACAGCCACAAACACTGGACCAGTTTCCAGAGTTGCTCACCATGCATATACCTGTGTTGGCTTATTTGCTCATCTTTTGCCACCCAAGTTTGGCCTGACTCAATGCTGCTAGCCTTCCAGGGCAAAGGGCTTTCTGAGGTTAGGAGGAGGGCCCCTAACTGAGAGAGGCAATTCATTTTCAAATGGCTTGGTTCACAATTTGGGGAGCAACAAGGTGGGGACCCAGCCTGGTACAGATAATGTCCACACGTGACTAGCAAAGACCTGGTCTCCCAAGTCTTGACTGATTTCTGTGAATGGGCAAGAAATCGTATGGATTGTGGAGCCAATCGAGGTGAAAGAGATTCACACTGCCTCTGCTCACTGGCCTTGTTGTGCCTATCCTTGTCAGCAGCCCAGCCATCTAAGGAAATCTCAGGAGCTTCTCCTACATGTTTGAGTATTGAGCAAATGCTGCTGGATCCAGGACATGCATGGGCAAAGACACAGCTGAATCCAAATATCATGCCACCCAAACACTGGAACCAAAATAACAGCACAGACCAAAATTTTAAAAAGAAACAACAGGCAAGACTATTTCGAGCCCATCTTGGATCTATGTCAATTTGGTTAGCTAAGTCCATGTCATTTCTTTTTCATCAGTTACCAATTTTTTGAGGATGTGGGTACGTGGGGGTGGTACTTCTTACAACTGATCTGCTTTTGAGTTTCCAAATGCCAAAAGAGAGTGTAAAAAAAAAAAAAAATGTGACGCAAGGCCACGGTTTTAAATCTTGGGATTAGGAATAACTTGAGGATAGCAACTGCACCACCTTGTTCCCCTAGTGTTTGGGGTTTCTATTTGTGAGCATTTTCAAGATGGTTTCCTTATCTCACACTGCATGATACCCTCACAACGACCCTGTGAGGTAGGCAAGACTGATTAAATCCACTTTAAACATAAGGCAAATGAGCCCATGAGAGATTAAGAAACTTTCCAAGAGTCACATAAAATAATATGTGACTGAAGCTGAGAACTGAATTCAGCTCTTCCTCCTCAAGATTCTGGTGTGAGTGGGAAATTGGGAAGTTGATTTTATCACAGAGCACCCAGCAGTTGCTCTGAGTTATCTATTAAACTCACATGGCCAGCAAAAGTAGAGATTCTTAGTGCAGGGGCTGGACACCCAGCTGGAGAGTTTTCTTAAAATAAGTCTTAAGGAGTTTTTTTTCTTTAAGTTTACAAAATGGAATGAAGGGGGAAAAGGATACTTTCCCCATTTCTCCTGCCCAATCCAGAAGGAAAAGGACTGCTCAAATCACACTGGGATTTCTTTCTTTGTGTGGTGTTCTGGGCACTGACCGGAAATCTCTGACAAGGAAACGTAGCTATCCCAACTTTGCATGACATCAAATCGATTTTGACTTACTCAAGTGCTGGGTGGGGCACAAAGTGGGGAGCAGGGGGGCAGCTCAGCCAAGGAAAGTGGGGCAGCCTAAGCCTTCCATCTCTTCTGCTGCTCAGTTGCAGAGCAAAAAGGAAAGAAAGAGAGAGGCAGGGAAAACAGGAACAGAGAAAGCCACGGAGAGGAAGAGAGAGAAACCAGAGACCAATGTCCCCTTTCTGTCTTTCAACCAAGACGAAAATTAACATACATTGATAACATAGGAATTGGCCTCAAAATTATTTTGTGACCAAAAGAATGGTGACTAAAATGTTCCCTAGATAACCCCATAGATGTGGGTGTTAACATCCAAAATGGTGGCAATACTGTAGTTCAGTGGCAGTCAGGCCCTTGGAAGCTGCGTGTGGGTATGTGTCAGGTTGCATCTGTTTAGACGAGAACTCTCACATGCTTTCATCGCTAATCCCGACCATAGGGACAAGCCAACCTGGGTTAGGGAAGCCAGTCTGTAGTTAGAATAATCACAATCAAACCTTATGTTTGCATCTCGCTGTCCCATTTATCACGCACTTTCCAAGTGCATTATTGCATCTGGACCATCTAGTTACAGGGTTATGAATTGGGATTATTCTATAATCAGGTTCTTAAATGTGAGAAAAAAAGTACTGCGTTGCAGCCCATATCCAAAAATTGGTCTACACAGGCCAGCAGCAACTTGGCTGAGGGGACCTGCTCAAAGCATCATCCAAAATGACACTAACATTGGGCAGGAAACCATGGAAGATATAGAGAGCCATAGCATAGAAACATCTCACCCAGGGGCCTTTAGGATTAAATTAAAAACCACTCCAAGTTGGCAGCACATTGCACACAAATTTTAAATGATTTTTGGAAGTAAGGGGAAGCGTTTAGTTTACTAACAAAGTTGCCTCTGACCTTGGCCAAGGGCCAGAGTACAGATGGCTGGGTTTGCAGTTTAGTGTAGCATGTCTAAGTGGGAGGTCTGTAGTCGCAGCTTACATTTCCCAGGCCCTAGGTCAAAGAGGGTGTGGAAGACTACATCTCAGATGGCTTTATTTAAAATTAAAAACAAAAAACAAAAAACAAAACCCTCAACTTTTCTCTGAGTTAGACCCTGGGACCTAGCCAAGGGTTTGATTACAGATCTCTTCTGCAATCTGCTGGAACCATCTTCCTTTGCATGAGTTCTAGGAATTAGGAGGAAGTGAGGGATGGCTCAATTCGTCCCCCATCTGTTTTCCTATTTGCAGACTTTGGTGTAAAATGCGGCTTCTGTTGTTTGGGGACTACGACAACATCCTCTTGCCAGAAAAACTAACTAACTAAATAAATAAGGAGTTTGTTTCTGGAAAGTTCTTAGAAAGTGACCCTGCACATCTGCTGACCCTCTGGGAAGGTCCTCGCCTGGCATTATGAATCATCCTGATATTCCCAAACTGCCACGGCCCAGAGGAACAGCTGCACAGCTAAGCTTCTGGAAAGCCCCTTGTCTCCCCCATCCTGGGCCCAGCAAAGTGAAAACCTCAGAGCTTTCCAAGCCTCTTCCCAGCCAACTCTCTTCCAGATGAACAGGAGGGAGTTGAGGGTTCATCTTTCCTCTCGCCAAGTAGAACAGCTTTCCAGGATTCTGGGCCACCGGCTCGATTCGTGTTGGACAGTGGCATAACTATTTGCTGGGAACTTGAAAGGAAAGAGATGGGTTCTAAGGAACAACTCGGGCAGCAACAGGGCTGCTTGGGGATCTAAACACTCTGAAAGTAGAGGAAAGGTCCAGTAGCTGGAGGCCAACCCCTCAGCTACCAGCTGCTGAGTGGAAAGTGTTCACTGGCTCTGGTCTGCTCAGGGAAAAGCGCAAAGGGTAATGTTGAGCAAGCTGGAGAGAAAGCAGAAGTTGCCCATTTGTTACTTTCCCAGCAAGGGATGCCCCCATCAGTCCATCCAAGCGCCCAGGAGGTCTGAAGCCAGGCTGCGGGCAGTAGGGGCATCTGGGCGCGCTTATGTGGCTATGCGCATGCATATGGCCGGATGTGTGCCATACGAGCCAAATCCAAAGCCCTGGCAAATGGGGACTCCAGGCTGGGTCCTCTGCCTGGGCTGGGCAGTTTGCTCAGCAGCCAAAGAACAGATGGGGAGACAGGTCAACAGCTACCCCACAGCCTCTGGCCTCTACTGGTTGTCCTCAGCCACTCTGCAATATATATTACTGTCCCACCCGACGGATAGCGCCAACAGAACATACCCCACTTTCCCACAGCAGCTGGGAAAGGCGCCCTCCCCACCACAGGCCTGTAGGGGGCGCGGCTTCACCAGCACGATGCTAGGACAAGCAGAACAGCCAGCCTTCTCTCTCAGCACAGCCACACCATCCTGGAGACACTGAGGAAGAGCTATCCTGCTCTAAAAACAGCCCAGCTTCTCTGAGCTCTCAGCAGCATCTGCTTTCCCACCTTCCCGCCTTCCTGCCTCTCCTGCACCCCCCATCCCCACCTCAGGCAGCAGGTGCAAAAAACAAGACCCCCAACTCTTACCTGGTTGTGCCACATTCTGCTCTCTCTCCTGGAAAATAAAGTATACATTGATGTTTAATTGTTTTTTGTTGTTGTTTTAACCAGCAAACATTCATCTTTTTCTAAAAACAAGGAACAACTGAACTTAATTATTTGCGAAATGGGAAACTGAATTATGCCTAAGAAATGGTCTGTTGGAAAGAACCAAGTCTTATTAAATCCCCAGGGCCTCCTATCTGTAAGGCTATGCTCACATAAATTTCATTTTGTATCGTTCATGTATATTTTTTTCAGTGACTTTCAAATCACCACTTGCATCAGAATCTTCTGGGGAACTTATTAAAAATGCAGATTTGGGGGCTTTCCCATGGGCCTTCTGAATCAGAAATCTCTGAGCTAAGAAGACAGGAATCTGCATTTTAATAAGCACCCCAGGTGATCCCTTCTGTGTGTGCCAAAGCTCAAGAACTCATGCACTGCTTTGTATCAAAAAAGGTTGGTTGATGGGGCGCCTGGGTGGCTCAGCCGGTTAACCGTCTGCCTTTGACTCAGGTCATGATCTCTGGGTCTCAGGATTGAGTCCCAAGTGGAGCTCCCTGCTCAGCAGGGAGTCTGCTTCTCCCTCTCCCTCTAGCCCCTCTGCTTATTCTCTCTCACTCTCTCTCTCAAATGAATAAATAAAATCTTAAAAACAAACAAAGAAAGGTTGGCTGAGCACCCATCATAGACTTGGCCCTGAAGAGCAACAGATACAAGATACCTCTTGTTGTTCCTCAACCCAGCCACACCCCCACTCCAACCCCTCCTGCCTTCATTCTCAGCTGAAGACCTTCTTGCTTCCTTCACTGGAGAAGAAAATCAGTAAGACAGGTCTTGGCATGCCTCCCTAAGACACACACACCTACCTGTGCCTGCTCATCCACTCTCTACCTCCTCTCCTCTCCGGTACCCCAGAGAAGCATCCGGACTCTGTCAAGGCCCAGACCTCCGCATGCTCTCAGTCCCAGCCTCTCTGCCCTTCTCGGGTGCTCTGTTTCTGCAAGTACCCCCCACCACCCCAACCATCACCAATCTCCTTTCTTCTGGATCATTTCCATCCGTCTATAAACATGTTCTGGATATGTATAATCTAGCTTTGAAACCTCCCCTGGGCCCCCTTTCTCCCTCCAACTCCATCCCCATTTCTCTCCTTTACAGCAAAGCTTGCTGAAGGAGCTGTCTAGGAAGCCCTCTTGCTTCCCCCCGCTCACCCCACTGAGGCTGGCTTCTGGCCTCACCATCCACAGAGACTGCCAGCTCCATGTGGACAAATCCACTGTCTTCTCTGCTCTTATCTGACTTCTGGGCAACAACTCAGTGAATCGTCCTTCTTCTTACAAAGCTTTCTCCTTGATTTTCATGACTCCACACTTGCCAAGTGTCCCTCCTGCCCTACAGGCTGTTCCTCTGTTTCTCTTGCTGTCTCCTCATCTGCCCAACCTCTAACCTCTAAATGATGGGATGCCCCAGGAGGTGTACCCAGATCTCTTTCTACACACCTTATCTGCCTGACCATGACCAAAGTGCTTACCAAGGACTCCCTACTCTTATCTCCAGATCTTCCATTTCCCTGGAATTCCAGACTCCTAGTCACTGCCTTCTTTTTTATTTTTAACAGCTTTGTTGAAGTATAATTTACAGAGCATAAAATTCACCCATTTGAAATGCATGGTTCAATTATTTAGTAAATAGTCAAGTTGTGCAACCATCACTGCAATTCAGTTTTAGAACATTTCCTTCACACGAAAAAGAACCCTTGTGCCAATTCACAGTGACCTCCCCCCCTTCCATCTCCAGCCTACGGCAACTGCTCATCTATTCTCTGTGTCTATGGATTTGCTTATTCTGGACATTTTATAAAAATGGAATCATGCTATCTTGTGCATTTGGCTTCTTTCACTTAGCATACGCTTTTGAGGTTCACCCACACAGCACGATTCAGTACTTCATTCCTGTTATGGTGCAGCAGAGAACGTCTAGGCCAGGTTGTCCAATAGAAATGTAATGGAAGCCACAATTTCTAGCAGCCGTGTTACAAAAAGTGAAGAGAAATAAGTGAGATTAATTTTAATAACATATTGTGTTTAACTTAATACATGAAAAATATAATTTCAAAGTATATCAATATAAAAATTCATAAAATATTATATGTATATTTTTTCTATTAACTCAGAAATCAAAAATTTTCTACCCTTTACCTTCTGAGACCTGTTGGGATTTTTAAAAATATATTTTATAGTCAGTGGTTCAGTCATTTTCAGAAGGTCAGACTGTCTGGTCCTTGTGGGACACTGGCTCTGTAATGTGCTATTAAATCTTGGTCTGAAAAGGTTATGTCCCATCCCTTTTATAGACAATGCACTATTCATTCTTGAGGGGCTACAGTAAATTGAAAAGCTACCCGTATCTTGGGTATAAACCCTGGAGCTTACAGACTACCCGGAGCAGTAAAAAGGTCAGAGATCTAAAACTCAGACACGATGATAAACTAAGAATCCTCTGGCCAATAAAACAGCATAGCAACAGCCAAGGGCATATACGGGTGTGTTCTTGTTCCCAAGACGTGCCAGTGACATTTACAACAAGGAATGCCAATTTGCAGGACACCTAGAAGCATTTTGACTTGTGTGTGTGGGATCAATCATGTTAAAAAAAATTTGCTTCTAAGTGAGTGCTTCTGTTTCCTCTAACTTGTGGCTTTGAGCTATGCTGTCAAAAGAGTACTTGAGAGAAATGGATTACATGATACCCTTCATTAAAAAAACAACAACCTTGTATCTTCTCAATCAAAATATTCTGCTTGGCCCCGTATTTCTCACCTGTTTCCAAAATTTTCAGAGTGTCCCTCCCAATACAAAATAGCCCTCTGAGGACATAAAAAGGCCACTGATGCAGGTGTAACCCTACCCCAGCCCACTCTTGGAAGAGCTTTCTACTGGATGGAAGAGTTAGTATGTGCAGGTAGAGGTAAATCATCCGCTGACACTCCAAAGGACGAAGGAGCTGAGATTTTGAGCCTGCTCTGGCCTGTGCAATTTTTTCATGCCCCCGTTGCCCAGTGGGCAAGAACTTGACCCATCTAAGTCAGTGCACGTCTTCCCCTTTCACCCAGTGCCCTAAGAATCCACATGTACCTGTATCAGGCAGCGGGGATACAAAAGCGACTCAAGATTTGGTCTCAGCTGCCGTTCTTTTAGTAATTTGGTAATTCATTAACTTTAGAGATAACAATGTACCAGTGTTCATTACTTATGACAAATACACCATACTCACTGATGTCAATAACAGGAAATACTGGACGTGGAGTGTGTGGGGACTAACTGTACTATCTTGCAACCTTTCCATGAATCTAACACTATTCTAAAACAAAGTCTATTCTATTTTATGTATTTATTTTTAAAGATTTTGTTTGTTTGCTTGTTTATGAGCGAGTGAGAAAGAGAGAGTGTGGGGGAAGGAGCAGAGGGCGGGGGAGAGACAGAATCCCAAGCAGACTCCACTTTGAGCGTGGATCCCGACGCTGGACTCGATCTCACAATCCTGAGATCATGTCCTGAGCTGAAACCAAGAGTCAGATGCTCAACCGACTATGCCACACAGGCATCCCTAAAACAAAGTCTATTTTTTTTTTAAATGCAAAACCTCTCCAGAATTGACCAGTCTAACAAGGCCCATCCCAGTTTTCAAAAGAAGCACAGTGGGGCTTTTCCACGGCTGGGTTATCAGGGAACAGGACTCTGGAGATTCTTTTCGATGGCTCTTTCTTAGCGACGCTTATACTTCAGAAGCTGCATTTTCCTGCAGTTTTTCATTGCTATTCAGCCTAAAACTCAGAAGGAGGACTGGTAAATCACATCTCAAAGCAAGGTGTAGCTTGGGATCATGACCTGAGCCAAAGGCAGACACTTAACCGACTGAGCCACCCAGGAACCCTGGGATCTTATTTTTAAAAAGAAAATCTGGTTTTCTAAATCCAGGGCACCTGATTTTGAAAATACAAGTAGCCACCAACGCACATGGACCTGCCTTTTGGTGCATGGCTCGGAGAAACAGGCCCCGGGGGGCCATAAAACAAATCCTCCTCTTCAATGCTAGTTGTGGGAACTGCCCCTGTCCCCATCTGAGCTCCTCTCTAGGACTTTCTGCCTCTTCCCTTTCCCTCCATTCTCGTTGCTTTGGTGCCCTCTTCGCTGCCCTACTCCTCTGCAGTCCCACTCACCTGGCCCAATGTGGCAATGTCAGGGATGGGCAAAATGGAGTGGGGTGTCAGGGAAAATGAAGAAAGAGCTCATTGCAACTCACTCCTCCCCACCCTCACCCCCAGTCAATGAGTTTTGACAAATGTATATACCCGTGTCCAACCAGCACCCAAATCAGGATACAGGACATTTCTATCACTCCCAGAAATTCCCCAGCTAGAAGTCACAAAACTGATCTCTGCTAATAGAAGGCAGATCAGTGGTTGCTTGGGGCAGAGGAGGAAGAATTAACTGCAAAGGGATACAGAGGAGCTTTTGGGGTGACAGAAATGTTCTATATCGTGATCTGGGTGTATGTTTTTTAAAACTGATTTCTACGCAAAATAGGTAGATTTTATTGCATGGAAGTTACATGTCAATAAAGCCGATTGAAAAAATTCTACTGATATTAGTTTTAAAACCCTGGTTTTTCCTCCAAGCCCTAGTTATTCATCTTTCTTGAAGCCTTTCTGGCTCTTCTGGGCCCAGGGTGATCCCTTCCTCTCCTGGCTCAGACCCTCAGAGTCTATCCTGTTCATCTGGCAATTCAACCAGTGTTTCTGTGTGACTTAATGTTACTGCTTTTGATTTTTTATGAATTTGTGAACTGTCTCCTCACTAGATTATAAGAGCCTTGGGGCTGGGAAATGGTTTAATTTCTCACTGTTTCCTCTAAAGCATGGGGCTCACAAATGCCAAGCATCTGCAGATTCCAGCTACCCATTTGACTGGTGCCGACTGCACAGCATCAGGGAACACCTGGGTGGCCAGGGCACAGCCACTAGAATGTGCACCCCTCTGGAGAAGAGAGTGATCCAGTGGGGGGCAAGGACACGTTGTGGGTGGCAAACCCCCAACGGCCAATGAGTGCCAGCCCCATGCCCCACTCTGACTCTCATCTGTCACACTCCTCCTTCCCTGAAAAACTTAGGTGATCTCTAGGCCTGCTTCAAGCTGTCATATTGGGATCTCCTGGCATCATCACCTTGGAAATTCCCTTCATCTCTCCCATGTTGGTCTCCTATTTCCTGGACCCCATGCCTTTTTTCCTTTAGGTAGAACACATCGTTCAGCCAATTGCCCTTGCCAACAGAATACAAGAATATATCTGGATGTGGGGCTCCAAGCAGCATCTAGCAACTTCAGAAACCCTAGGTCAGCTCCTCCCCTCAGAGAGGAGCCACACATCAGTTTCCAGGGCTACCAGGATTTACTGCAAACCATCCCTGACCTTGGGGCCTAGTTATGTCCTAATGACTTTTCTATGCAACATTCATTTAGTGACCATTAACTGAGTGCGTTCTGTGACTAGGTACTCTTCTGGGCACTGGAGATAAAGGGGTGGACAAAATAAATAAGGAAGTCCCTACTCCAATTGAAGATATGATACTGTTGGGGTGGGGGTGTGACCAAAGATAATAAGCAAATGAACAAATAATAAATAGGATAGTGATGAGTGAGATGAAGAAAATCAGAGAGAGTGTTGGGACAGAGGTGGTGATTTCTTGAGGTTGGGTGACAAGGAGAGTCTCCACTAAGGAAGTGATATCTGAAGGATAAGGAGCCACCCATACTGAGATCTGGGGTAAGGGCATTCCAGGCAAAGAGAACAGCAGATGCAAAGGCCCTGGGGCAGGAATAAGCTCGGTGAGTTTTGAAGGGCAGAAAGGAGCTTAGTGGGGCTGGAGCACAGTAAAGGAGTACAGAATGATAAATGAGCTCAGGGAAACAGGCAGAGGGCAAACAATGTGAGGCCTCACGTATTGTGAGAGCACTGGGATTTTATTCCAACTGGCACTGGAAGACTTTGTGAAGTTTTAAGCCTACTCCCCACATCCCTCAAGGACCAAACTTTGCCTTCCATATATGGAGTTTTCTTTTTTGGACCAAGCCTCCTGGCCAGGCACTCCACTAGTATTCCTGGCAAATAGCATCTGCTGACAAGCATCCGTGCGGACCTCTGTGCTCCTGGATTCCCACTCCCTTCCTACTGGGGACCCCTTTCATCACTTTGCCTTGGACCCTCCCCCAGAACCTAAACTAACACTTCTGGTTTCCCCGTGTTTTCTGCAGCCAGACTAGACCCCTATCGGCATCTGTACCAGCCTGCCCCGTCCTGCCCGCTGGCTCTGGCACCAGGCCTCATTCTACCAAGAGCCCCAAGTGCAACAGCTCAAGGGGCCACAACAAAACAGGCACTCCTCACAGGCCTCTGCCCCCCAACCAACTCACCTTCACCCAGGGTCTGCTTGAGCAAGTCATGCTTGGCCTGTAGCTTAGTGATGAGGTTACTGCCGTTCACATATTCTTTAAATTTCTGTAAGACACAAGGCACATGGGCATTACAGACTGCAGGGCCAAGTCACAAGGTCTCCACCCCTGGAACCAACCTCTGGGCACCGGGGAGGTCGAAGGGAGATGGCACCGCCCTCCAGGACCCCAGCATGGGGAAAAGAGGGGCCTCTGACTTGCCCCTCTGCTCTTCTCCATCAGACCCCAGCTCTACCGAACAAGCTGTCCCGGCCTACGCATTTCAGGCCAGTTTGGGGAACACAAAGAAAGCTCGGGGGCAATGTGAGTGATGAAAGGCACTTTGTCAGGTGAGGACTGCAGCGGGGAGGGGGTGGGATAGCAGACAGCTTCTTTAGTCCTCAGGCTCTGCTGTGCTTCTGGGCCACGAGCAATAAAAATAGGAACCGTCTCTGGAAGCACGCAGCTGAGGCGAGAGCGCTTTATCAGATCCGTCACAGAGGAACCTCCTAACGAGCCTTTCTCTCATCTGGCCCCACTCGGAAGGAGGAGGGGCTTTGCAGGCCCCTAAAGACATTCCTGTTAAAATAACGTGAACTGCATTGGGGGACAAAATTTCCTTCTTTTTACAGAGGAGACAGGTGAGGCTGGTACAGGGAACTGATTTGCCCAGGGTCCCTAGGGCCCCCAGGCTGCCTCTCCTTCAGGGGTCTTGTCAAGCACAACGCACGTCAGAGCAGAACAGACGGACAGGGGCCACCAGAACAGAAACACATCTACCTGCGCCCAAATCCAGCTGGGCCTTGGCCACCCCTCTCCCTACACAAGTACTGGCTTTCCTTGGCTCACCCTGTATCACCCAAACCCAGGCCCGGAAACCCCTCTGCTGGGGTGTGTCTTTGCCAGACTGTGAGCCACTGTTGGCGGGGTCTACACCCAGTTGGTTTTCGGCCCCCCAGTGCCTACCGCTATGCCTGGCATAGAGCCAGTGCTGAGAAACTTCATGGGGGTTGACACGGAAGAGAGGGAAGAGACAACAAGCTAATAAAGAAAGTAAAATACACAATTGGTCAGCTGCTGGTGAATGCTGTGGATAAAAATTAGGCAGGGATGGGGTTAGACCTCACGGCAGAGTTGCCCTGTGAACCCAAGCCCGAAGGAGGGGAGGGAGGGGCCGTGTGGGGACACACCGGCACATGGGGGATGGAGCGTTCTCAGCAGACGGAACGGCAATTGCAAATGCCCTGAAAATGAAGGCACAGGGTGGTATGATTGCCCCAGAGCTGCCAGCTAGTTTCTCACAAAGAAATCCATTTTATCCCCAGCCAGAAGGCTCAGAAAGGGGTGCAGAGGAGCAAACAAGTGAACCACAGCGGCTTGGGACCACCTCAATACAACCTGTAAAGGAGCATCTGGAAGGCAGTTGTAGGGTAAAGGCCCATGGGGTGGGGGCTGACATGTGCTCAGATAAGACAGGGGTCACCCCACCCTGGCCCCAACTTGGCAGGTTTCTGGAACAGTAGGGCTGGCAGGAGATGGTGGTGTCCTCTCTCCTCAGCCAGAGTCCCTAGTTCCTAGGACCTTGTCTTCTGGTTACTAAGATCCACTCCTCCTTGTACCTGTAGAGCACTCAGCAGTTTTCAGGCTTGTACCTTTGGTCTGCATCACAAACCTGGATAGCAAAGGTGGGGGGCATCATCATTCCCATTCTAGTCAGAAGGAGACAGAAGCTCAGAGCTGTGGCCACTTAGTGTGGCACCTTGAGCAGAGGACCCCCTGCCTCCTGACAGCAGCATTTCTCCAAGTGTGATGCAGGCCAGTGGCTTCCTCCCCGGCTGGCTAGCAGATTCCTGCTCAAGAAGACTGTGAGTCGAACCCTTAATTTTACACCTGAAGAAGACACCATGGAGGCTAGACGTGTTCAAATTTCCAGGGCCTACCTCGGGGCAGGTGGTATATTGGGAACCTACATTTTAACAAGCTTCCTACATGATTCGAATGCATACTTCAGTGTGATAACTGCTCTCCCTCCCCCAGGCTCTCTTGGATGCTTCCAGTATTGACACCCTCTACTCTTATCCCATATTTAAAAATTCATCACAAGAAGCAGAGCTGAGTTTTGAGCAGGTATTTTCTCCATCATGCCCTGCTGCCCCTGGCAGTTGAAGCTCGAATCCCAAACACAGAACGCACACCTTGGTGGGTTATTCACTGGTTAGTGGAAACTATACCCCAGGGCTCTGGGGCCCATGAACTCTGCCTACTTTTTCCAAGCTTCATCTGGGCTTCAGATGTGACTCATGATGGAAAGAATGCCATCAGATTGTACTGATGTTTGCATTAAAAGGAGTATTATGTCCTCAAAAATGCCTAAGATAATGTCACAACATCAGGTCATGAAGTGTACTCACCAACCAGGTTAATAGAGTAAATATTAAAATTAAAATATAACATCCATGACCCTTAATCATGAACATCGGTGAATTCTGTCTTTTAAGTTCAAGCATGCAGACCCCATTCTCTGCTTCTACCACCCAGATTTCTTTGTTTCTGCTGCCAAAGGGAATTAATATTCATACACACTCCTTACTTAATCTTTGTAACCCATAAAATTCTCTTTGTACACACAGTAGGTCCTCAGTGGAAGTGCTGAAGCCCAGAAACTGGCATGGGCTGACTCACTAAGACCAGCTTCATTTTCTTTCTTGAAAACAACAAAGTCAAACAGTGATGCTTGAGGAAATGCTATCCGTGTTTTTTTTGTTTTTTGGGTTTTTTTTTGGCTGGGTACAGTATACTTTATTGATGGTACATGACAAGGTAGGGGTCCCCAAGCCCCTCCCCTTCTTCAGGGGGTCTGGGATGGAAACGGAGGAGGTTGAGAGATTCTCAGTGTTTTGGGGGATAAGTTGGGGCAGGGACTCCCCAGCAGCTGAGGGCCTCTCTCTTCCTCTTGCTCTCGCTGGGGCTGGTGGTCCAGGGGGCTCTTACTCCTTGGAGGTCATGTGGACCATAAGGTCCACCACCCGGTTGCTGTAGCCGAATTCATTGTCATACCAGGAAATGAGATTGACAAAGCGGTCGTTGAGAGCAATGCCAGCCCCGGCATCGAAGGTGGAGGAGTGGGTGTTGTTGTTAAAGTCGCAGGAGACAACCTGGTCCTCAGTGTACCCCAGGATGCCCTTGAGGGGGCCCTATGACGCCTGCTTCACCACCTTCTTGATGTCGTCGTATTTGGCAGCTTTCTCCAGGCGGCAGGTCAGATCCACGATGGACACTTTGGGGGTGGGGACACGGAAGGCCATGCCAGTGAGCTTCCCATTCAGCTCAGGGATGACCTTGCCCACAGCCTTGGCAGCGCCAGTGGAAGCAGGGATGATGTTCTGGGCAGCCCCTCAGCCGTCGCGCCACAGCTTCCCAGAGGGGCCGTCCACGGTCTTCTGGGTGGCAGTGATGGCGTGGACGGTGGTCATGAGTCCCTCCACAATGCTGAAGTTGTCATGGATGACCTTGGCCAGAGAGGCCAAGCAGTTGGTGGTGCAGGAGGCATTGCTGACAATCTTGAGAGTGTTGTCATACTTCTCATGGTTCACACCCATCACGAACATGGGGGCATCGGCAGAGGGAGCAGAGATGATGGCCCTCTTGGCCCCGCCCTTCAAGTGAGCCCCAGCTTTCTCCATGGTGGTGAAGACCCCAGTGGACTCCACAACATACTCAGTACCAGCATCACCCCATTTGATGTTGGCGGGATCTCGCTCCTGGAAGATGGAGATGGACTTTCCATTGATGACAAGCTTCCCGTTCTCAGCCTTGACTGTGCCGTGGAATTTGCCATGGGTGGAATCATACTGGAACATGTAGACCATGTAGTTGAGGCCAATGAAGGGGTCACTGATGGCGACAATATCCACTTTGCCAGAGTTAAAAGCAGCCCTGGTGACCAGGCGCCCAATACGGCCAAATTCGTTCACTGTGACCTTCACCATCGTGTCTCGGGGATGTGGCTGGCACTGCACCAGAAGATGCGGCTATCTGTCGAAGGGGGAGGAGCAGAGAGCCGCTATCCATGTTTTTAACAAGGGATTCAACAAGGCCTATCACAAGGTGGAGCTGGGTGTCAGAACTGGGTGGGTTTGTGACTATTTAAATGACCACAAACTAAAAGTGCTGATTAGTGGATCAACATCAGCCATGGCATGTTTTAAACAACTCCGTCTTTGGCCTGGGCCCCGGCATACCCCCTGGTTTTTTTATTTGACAAACTTTAAGGTGTGAAAGCCATACTCACTGACTCTGCAGACAACACAAGGTCTGAAGACACAGCACATATGTTGAACAACCAGAACAAGATCTTGACAGTATGGAGCCATGAACTAAATCCATCAGGAGGGGATCTAATTGGTACCAACCCAAGACATCACCTTTAGGAGGAAGGTAGCCTGGTTTAATGACAGTACGTAGGGAATAGAGACTTAACTGATATTGACTTTAAAAATATATATATATTAAACATATGTATATTTATATATCTATATAATCTTAGTTATAATAGAGTATTATGAAAAATTACATGCCAACAAAATGAACAAGCTAGAAGAAATAGATAAATTCCTAGACATATATAACCTCCCAAAACTGAATCAGAAAGAAATAGAAAATTTAACAGACTGATCACCAGCAATGAAATTGAATCAGTCAAAAAACTCCCAACGAACAAAAGTCCAGGAGCAGATGGCTTCACAGGTGAATTCTACCAAACATTTAAAGAAGAGTTAATACCTGTTCTTCTCAAATTATCCCAAAAAGTAGAAGAGGAAGGAAAGCTTCCAGATTCATTCTATGATACCAAAATCAGATAAAGACACTACCAAAAGAGAACTACAAGCCACTATCAATGATGAACAGAGATGCGAAAATTCTCAACAAAATACTAGCAAACCAAATCCAACCATTCATTAAAAAAAATCATTCACCACAATCAAGTAGGACTTATTCCTGGGCTGCAAGAATGGGTCAATATTCACAAATCAATCAACATGATACATCACATCAATAGGAGAAAGGATAAAAACATAGATGCAGAAAAAGCATTTGACAAAGCACAACATCCAATCATGATCAAAACCCTCACCAAAGTAAGTTTAGAGGGAATATACCTCAACATACTGAAGGCCATATATGAAAAACCCACAGTTAATATCCTACTCAACGGTGAAAAACAGAGCTTTTCCCGTAAGATCAAGAACAAGATAAGGATGTCCACTCTCACCACTTTTATT